AATTTTGTTTGGATAGCCAACAAAAGAAAACATTATAACATTCATTACATTATCAAACTATCAATAACTTAAATGTCCTTTTAATTATAGGCTATATAATAATTGTAGTAAATCAAAATTTAAATTTAAAAAAAAACAATAATAATAAATTAATAAAACATTACATAATAATCACTAAAATTGACATAACTAATAACATTATTACAAATTAACATTTCAATATAATTCAAAGTTTTAAAATGTCACAGAATTAAATTAATATATATGTATATATTATTTTATTATATGTAGTTATTGAAATCATTTATTTCTTTAGAAATGTTATTATATAATGTCGCCATTCTGAGTATTGGTGAGTTTTTACCTAAATGAGTCCTATAGGAACTTGAAATAGTTTTGATGGATAACGAGGAAATCTTGATGGGATTCGAAATAAAATTCTATTCAAAAGATCCGGACATTCAATTTCGTTGTTCAAAAGATTTGTAGAGAAACATCAATGATAGGATTTTTCTTCTGTTCTCAAGCCTGCAAACGCTAAAGTAGTTTAACCTCGTTATAATTTTTAAGGTTTAGTTTAAATCTAAATGATAATTGCCGCATGAAACGCTTTTGAATATTTTCAATCGTTGTGATATGAATTTTTTTATAAGGTGACCAGATGTTATTACAGTATTCTAGTTTACTACGTACAAGACTGTTTCTTGTAGTCATGATAACACCGAGGTCTCTAATATAATTAGTTTCAAACAATTCACTTCCATCTATATAATATTTGGATGGAAAAAATATTATTTTTACGTGTAAATTTTATATGGACACATTTCTCAATGTTATGATACATTTTGTTCCTACTACACCATTCGGTCAATCTGTTTAGGTCCTCCTGCAGAAGATTCTGAAGATTGTTGTGAGTGAATAAGAAACTTTAAATGTATTAGTATACATATATACGTATATATATAGTATGAGAGTGAACGAAAAATATTTCTCTAATATAAATGTATGAATATTAATGCTGAAGATATCTTAAATTCCAGTTTTCTATAGTTCTATACAAGTATGTTCTCTATACAAATAAATTTTGATTGATTTTGTTCTCAACGCCTGATAAAATATAGTAACATGCTCATTGTATGATTTTGCTCAGTAAATTTGTTTTTATTTCTTTCAATAATCTTGAAAATTTACTATAATTATTAATTCTAATATTGTACTCTCAATGATAAGAATAATAGTTAATATAACATAAATAATTATTATAAGTTAATAGTATGAGTTAAAAAAAATAGGATTTCATTAAAAATTTTGCTTATATCCATTTCATATAAGTAGTCAAGCATTTTTTTAACAACCACTAGGAAATGCATACGTACAATGAATTAAATATACTTCAACTAATTAATTTATAACTTTTTTTATTTATTAACTAGAAGTCACTCGAGCAAAGTTGCAGATAATTTTATTTGCTACAAGAATCTCCTAATATATGTATTTCTTGTAATAAAAACTACATATTTTTCAAGATGTCGGTAATTACACAAAATCAGTAAACACACCAGCTAATATGTGTTATTATATTACTATAGTAGTACTACTTATATCTAGAATAAAACTACTAATTTCGGATGTAGTACATATCACATTCTTTTATTATTTTAAACTAGTTTTTGCCCGCGACTTCGTCCGCGTTAGTTTGGTCAAGAGTAATATATGTAGGTATAGCTGACCAGGCGAACTCTATTCCGTCTTAGAGGCCATAAATGATCAGGTTTTTCCTGTTTCAATCAAACAGAATGATTGACATATTAGTTAGTTGTCAAATGTAATGTCAAAAAAAACGTTTGTATGGACAATAGAAAAGGGCTATTTTTAGGGTTTTCCCGGCAATTATTCCAATTTTTCTCACCTTTTAAACCTTCCCCGGACTTCTAGGAGTATTTCGAGACTAAAATTAGCCAAATCGGTTCAGCCGTTCTCGAGTTTTAGCGAGACTAAGGAACAGCAATCCATTTTTATATATATAGAAGATTTCATACTCACGATGTTTCACTTACTTTAAAGCAACCTTGATCACGAAGACGAGATGAAAATGTTTTATATATATGCAGTTTAAAATTATATAAAAGTGGTAATCCAAACATTAGTTTTATTTAAATGAATACTCGCGAAAGTCTTAGATCTTATTACAAAAAAATAATATGTCCTCTCATAAAAGCAGTTTTGATATTGCAATTGACTTAGTATTAATTTTATACATTCTAAATAAATTAATGTACTTAATTTTTTATACAAAATTACCTATGTAATGATAAATATCTTTTAAAATTAATTGAAATAATCATGAGTATGTTGACGTTTCTAATCACTAGATGGCGCTGGCGTATATATAAAAAATATAAGTAATCTTATATAGAAGAAAAAGTATTAAGTGGAAATGAACGAAAATAGTACAAATATATCACACTTTTTTCAGATACGAAGTTTTATGTGTAAAAAACTCGAAACTGCTAGTATTGAGTGTGATTACGTACTGGTATTAAGTGTAAAAATTACATTACATTTTTTACTATGGTATCAAAGTAATGCGCAGTTAATCTAAATTGCAATATAATATGAAATTTATTTGTATATTTTGAAACAGCGCAGTAGTAGATACTTGTGTCTACCTTAGAATTCGTATATACTTTTTACTTTACGTTTAAACTTCCATAATGATAGTTTAAACTATAAATGGTTCGTGTAATTAGTGTTTTGGTTTAGTTTAAGAGATTGGTCAATAAAACAAACATACACACTTAAACACGTGAGATTGCGTGTTGGTTTATGAATCTTTTTATTACAAAAAAAACTCATTAAAATTACGACATTAAGTAAATTTTGAAATATATAGTTTATATTATTCTCATACTAGCTTAACAGTTGGCTCTTATTATTTTATTTTGATTTTACATAATGTGTTATATATTTTTATTAAGTATATACATGTATATATGTACAGTATATGTGAAGTTACTTTTTCTTATTATAATTATATATAATTTGATTGATAAATTTTTCCTCTATTGATGCTAGGGTAAAGAAAATTGAAATTCAATATATACATACATATATGTGTGTGTGTTTCAATTCTCAACTATTTCATCCACTACCTAGCTTAATCTAGCAAAAATTTTCGTTATATTATATCGACAAGTTAATTTTAAGGTTAGTTAAAGTGAACTGCGTTCCAATTTAAACTACAGAACATGAATTGAGTAAATTATAAACCTGTCGTGAAATGTTTGAGAGTTATTTTGTAACAGACGGACAGTTGTACTTTGTTATAACGTGATTTTTATCATATATAGAGACGAAACCTCTCATCATTCCATGTATTCACGGTGCGTGTGTCGGGTCCATCGTTGTAGTGAGAGGAGCTTCAACAGTGACTGGGACTTGTGACCCAGGTGTAGGTTTAAGGGACCCTATCTATGTGTTAAACGATATTATAAGAATATTATATTTGTTTAATACGTACTGTATTTTTATATAGTTTTTTTCTTAATATATTTGTCTGTCACTATCTTGTCGATCGTATCTCCTAAACAGTGGACAGTCAAAATTAACACATACATATATGATATAATGTGTGAAATTGTTGAAAGATTTGAATTAATTAAATATAATTAATTATAATTATATAATACTAATGAAAGTATTCACGCTCGGCTTATAATTGTTGTGTTTTAATTCGCATCTTTAATGTATTTTTTTTCTTTTATTTTGTTGTTTTTTTATCACAAACTATGAGAAATTTATTAAAATTAATTGAATTTTTTATACGTTTCTTGGTATATTGTTACCAAATGATAGATATCCTAAAAGTGTCTTAAATTTTAAAGGATTTTTATGATCCATTTTTAATTTTTTCTTATTTTTCCTACACTATGATTATTTACCGGGTTTTGCTCGATAATATTAAAATTATTTTCATATATATATATTTGTTATATCCCATATATTATTATATTATGGTGTTCATATTATTTCCCAATGTCAGTACACTCGGCTCAGCCACGCAACATGATTGATTGTCTCGTAATCATGTAATTATTTTAAACTTCATCATTATGTGTTTAGTCTTAAGTGTATCTCAAGTGTGATGAACATAACGCAATACATTTTATTATTATTAGTAATTTGTTCCATGAAAGCTCTGGTAATTTTTGTAGCCTCTGTCTGTGCATTAATCTGTACTATTTTAAATATTCGTTTTGGGATTTTAATGTTTTTTTTTTGTATGAATAGTAGTTTTCAATGATTTATTATTGATTATTAAAAAATTTTCATTTAAATGAGTGAAGTTCTGGTAAAATTATCATTAAATATTGATTATTGTTAGTCATTTTTAAACAAATGACATTATACTTACTTAATTGCTTACAAAAATATTGTTAGATGAAAATTATTTGTATGACATATACTCTAAACTCTAAAGGCTAAAAATGACAAGTTTTTATGTATTTATACCTAATTTAAGACTTTAAAAGGGAAATGTCCGTACATAACCTTGGTATAATATTTTAATAAAGTTACAAAGTCGTTATATTTAGTGTATATTGAACTTCCTTATTTCCTAGTCACACTGTGACTGGGTAAAGGTTTTTATGAGGTATTGTAAACTTTACTTTCAAGGCTATACGAGCTCAGTCTACATTACGACCTGATCTTTGACATGTGATATTTGATTAGTATGAGAACTAGGGTAAGAAATGTAGGAAAGATGTTCAGATTTGAACACAAAAGACTATTTATATGAGTTTCTTTTGAAGGCTTTGTTAAATATTTTGAATGAAAATCCATTATTTATAAGTTACCATTTCGTTTATTCACACATCCTCGCCTCTTATGTTCTTTACATAAAAAAATTTATACATAAATTACATTCCAAAATATGAGTATTAGGTTTTATGTTGGTTTGTTTTGTTTTTTTTTTTTGGCTAAATATCTATCACAGTTTACCAAGCGTGGGCAAGTCCGTGGGCGAGTCCGTGGGCGCCGTACGCGATTGGTGCGTGGACGATCGGGGCGGGGTGGGTCTGGGATAGGGATGAAGTGGCGACGGAATGGCTGCCGGCGTATCCGTGGGCGAGGGCGGGACCGACTAGGGCTCCGTGGGCGAGCGCTGGGGCGGCCAGGGCTCCGTGAGCGAGGGCTGGACCTACAAGAGCTCCGTGGGCAAGTGCTGGGGCGGCGAGTGCAGCGTGGGCGACAGCTCCATGTCCGACCAGTTGGCGGGCTACGTTGGGAGCTACACCGGCAGCGGCACCGTCGACCTGAGCTTGTGCTGTCTGAGCAGCATCGACCGCCTGCCAGGCGTGGTCCTCAGCAGCGTTGATGGCCTGTCCGTGGAGCTCGTTAGCCTGGTCGCCGACAGCGCGGGCGTGGTCGACAGCTTCGACATGAGCGTCGATGGCGGCTCCGGCGATGTCACCAGGAGGGATGGTGGGCGCTACGGCGTGGGCGACGGCCAGGGGAGCGGCGTGGGCGACCGCGAGCCCGCCGTGGGCGAGACCGAGTCCACCGTGGGCGAGTCCTAGACCTCCGTGGGCGAGTCCCAGACCGTGGCCATAAGGTGCCAGCAGAGCACCCGAGGGTGCGGCTGCGGCGCAGGCGAGGACGGCGGCGGCAACAATCTGCGAATACAACAACAACACACATTAACAACAATCCACATCACAACACAAGCACTTCACGACAACAGAACAACAACTGACCAGAAATCTCATCGTGCACTTCTGTGTTAGACTGCTCGTAAGCTACTGAATGCTCTCATTTGGTTGTCGACCGTTTTTATAGTCGGCGGGCGCGCGGCGGGCTCGGTGGGAAACGGAACCGAGGAAAAAAGTAAGCGGCGGCTCAAGGACGGGAGGGCGCGGGAAGAACCACGGGCTGTGACGTGGACGAGGAGGTCGATTAAAAAAATACTTATATTAACGACCAGCGTTCTAATGAAATGGTTTGATAGTATACAGCCAAGAAGGTTTATTAGTTAAATTATTTTTTTAATATTACCGGCCAGTATTAGAATGAAATGGTTTGACAGTATTCAACCAAGGAGTTTGGTTAATCAAATTATTTTTTAATATTATCGGCCAATGTTTTAATTAAATGGTTTAACAGTATTCATCCAAGAAGGTTGGTTAATCAAATTTTTTTTTTAATATTACCTGCCAGTGTTTCAATGAAATGGTCTAAATTTATACATCCAAGGAGGTTGCATACATCCCAAATAGGCTGTTTAATTATGTAATACATTAAAACAGCTTTGTTATCTAGCTTCAGTGTGTTAATATCGTTCGTATCTAGATCAATGTATATTTTTAGTGTTGAATTATTTAAAGTGCCATTAGTTGGATGTTGTATCAGGTTGTATGGGAAGTGGTCAATAACTTAGATAATTACATCCTCTGACACAAATACTGTTAACTTACGGATAGGGTAAAGGTTACTAACATATTATATATGTATATATGTAGATATGTTTACGGATATATGTACGTGCTTACTTATATATAATTGTTTTATATCATATAGATTGAATATTGTTTTTTCTTAACAAAGATTAATTAGTAATATCTATGGGTTTTCTATGGTATTTATATACTGTAGTAACATATATATGTAAGTTAGCAATTGACATAAATAGTATTAAAACAGTTTTCTATTGAATAGAAATTACTTTTAATATATATTAAATATATTTTGTAAGAAAAAAACTAAAAATTTCTCTCAACATTATACATATTTTAATCGTCCATATAAAAGACATCAACGAGCTCACAATAATCCATCAAGCATTGAAGCTATAAATAATTAATGTATTATAATAATATATGAATGATAATACGTTCCCAGACTCCCCGTAGACTTGGCATGCATATGCATGGAGATGCATGACTCATTAATCATCATACATATGCGTATCTATAGATAAAATGATCTACATACTATTGAGTAACGAGACTATTATATGTATGTTTGTTTGTCTGTTCATTACGGTATAACTACAAAACTAATTTGTATCCAAATTTAAATTTAGTATAGATTTTTTTTTAACCTAATGGTTAAATTTTAAACCACAGTTAAAATTTTAACCCTAATCTTCTAGTACTGTAAGTTGCAACAATTACCAAGAACTGGATCAGTCTATAGGATATCTAAATACAGGTATCGAATACAATTCGCGTAATAGGTAATTCTATATCTATTATATATACATAGTAATATATACTTTATTTATATAGAAATAAGATCCAAATTTGTATGAGATTTTCCGTTATGGGTCAACGCATTGTATGTATTACAAAATGGCCTTTAAATTTAATGCTATTTGGACCATTATTGCGTAAATCAAATATCATTATAGGTCAGTACGTCTGTTGATAATAATTATTAATGTAATTTGTTCTCTATTTCAATATAATAAGGTCGTTTTTCCATTGTTAACAAATTCGGTCAGTACTAGATGAACGTGACCCGATATGTGTGACGTGTTTCTGTCCGTTTGTCACGATTTTTTGTATTGTAATACATATATATATACATGTTAAGATATGCGGATTTGTTTGATTATATATATGTATATATTTAATATAGACAATACTGTAAATAGAAGTTGAAGAATGTACATTTATTATTAAAATGGGGGGATCCGCCATTTTGGATTTTAATGACGTCACGTTTAAGCTTTTTTTTAATACAAATCTATATTACAATTTCAAGGGTTTTATATACATAATAAGTAATAAATATAAAATTTTAATCAAATATTTATATATATAATTTAATATATTACTTATTAAGTATATAAAGTAGTGTTAATATTTCAAAGTGTTAGTTGTTTCGATATTCATTGCAAAACCCAGTCCCGTGAATGAGTTAAGGCTCCGTAGGAACTGTATCAGCGTCAAATTATGATGTCATTTGTATAATATAATAGATATTTATAATAAAACTTGCTTAAATGTATCGAATTTTAGTTAAAAATTTATTTAACTTCAAATATAATATACATGTAACTATATATATTCTTTATGTAAATATAATAAATATATATATGTAGATTTTTTTTCAATAGAAGTTTATTTATTATGTATATATTGCGATGATTTCACTGTTTCGAAGAAATATTAAAACTATATATTTAGTACATGAATATATACAAAAGCAGTCAGAGAGTACAATCATATTATCGGATTTAACACGTTACCTTTTTCTTTAATTTATTAAATTATATGTACATAATTATAATTATATTTTTTTATATAATAGGAAAAAATTAAGAGTAATAAATTTTATATATACAGGGTGACTGGTGAATTACTATCGATACTTGAGGACGTGATATATGACGATCATATATGATAAGATAAAAATTAATATAACATAAATATTAATAAACTTCTAAGTAAAGTTAACCAAAAGTTATGTAATTAATTACGCATCGTATGAACACCCTACAGATTAGATATACACACACACACACACACACACATACACACACACACACACGCGCGTGTGGCGGCGTAGTGTTGTATCAGCACGCCGCCACACGCGTCCACACTTGGAACGTGTCCACGCTTTATTTATTTATACGGAAATTTTGTCAAAAATTAAGTACCATTTTTTTTACATAATTCGAATGAGAATCATGTACCGAGTATTCTCCTTAAATATTGATAGTAATTCACCAGTCACCCTGTATAATGCCCCACAAGTATAATTACTTTTACAATACATGACCTCAGAATGTTGTACAAAAACCACCTATATGTTTCCCTTGACCAAACGCCAACCTTCACTATCAACCAATTATGAGTTTTTACAATTAAAAAGAATTCTGTTATTTCGTATATTTGTTTAATATGTATATTGTTTTTTTTCTATACAAGCTTTATCCGATGGCTTTGTCTGTATAAACTAGTACTAAGCTGAAGGTTTGCCATTTAATATAAAAGCTTACATTTTTTTCATTAATATTTAATATTTTTCATGAAAAGTCATAACAGACATACATACATTCAATTTCTAGTAAAAAGATTATAGATTATTCTAGTAAAAAGATACCATATGACTAAGCCTATGTTTCAAATTTCATAATTTAGCATTTCAGTTTCAAAAAATTAACAAACACACACACACACACACACACACACGCACACACACAAAGCTTCATATATATATATATAATTAAAAAACCAACAGATCAAGATACGCTGGTTCACGAATCAACGATTATCTAGGAGTCGTGGTAAGATGACCTTTGATGTGTCTACAGTTACTCTCATATTGTAACCGATCGATGTACGGCCGACTGTTGGCGGTTTCATGAGATGAAGCGATTTTATAAATTTATAGTCTAGACAATTCATTTGTATATATAATATAATGCCTATGATATATTAATTAAGAATATATATTCCAATAGCACAAATTAAGTCTGTTATGTTAAAATTAATTATATGTAGAGGAGACGAAACCTCTCATCATTCCATGTATTCACGGTGCTTGTGTCGGGTCCATCGTTGTAGTGAGAGGAGCTTCAACAGTGACTGGGACTTGTGACCCAGGTGTAGGTTTAAGGGTCCCCTATCTAAATAATTCAAAATTTAATATGAAATTTCTCATACAATTTAATATTATCCGCTGTCAGTGAGACCGTACCTTAATAACACTAACTTCATGTCTGTCGTAATGTCTACATAAGCAATTGTTTTTTTTTTTTTGACAATCACTTGATTGTTTCCATTCGGTTGATTTAAGATTCCAATGGAACCTTCATGGTTGTAACCTTCTTAATTGCTTGTAAAGTTCATATACAGGGTGACTGGTGAATTACTATCAATATTTAAGGAGCATACTCGGTACATGATTCTCATTCGAATTATGTAAAAAAAATAGGTACTTAATTTTTGACAAAATTTCCGTATAAATAAATAAAGTGTTGACACGTTCCAAGTGTTCCTAGTGTGGACGCGTACGGCGGCGTGCTGATACAAAACCACGCCCCCGCTGCGTATGTGTGAGTGTGTGTGTATACCTAATCTGTAGGGTGTTCACACGATGCGTAATTAATTACATAACTTTTGGTTAACTTTACTTAGAAGTTTATTAATATTTATGTTATATTAATTTTTATTTTGTCATATATGATCGTCAACTACCACGTCCTCAAATATCGATAGTAATTCACCAGTCACCCTGTATAATACATACATAATTAATTGATTATTCCAACTGCAATAGTAGAATAGAAATGTCATTACGTTTAACATGCACACACACACACACACACATTGAGGGAGCTTCATGTATTGATGTATTATACATGTGTGTGTGAGTCATGGTAGTGTGTGTGTGTAGTTCCTACATCAGTTAAAACTATTCTATAAAAAAAAATATATGTACAATATTATGACTTGATTATTGTTTGATATGTAATTTAAATACTTTTCTAATGTGTCTGTGTGTGTGTGTGTGTGTGTGTGTGTGTGTGTGTGTGTGTGTGCGTGTGTGTGTGTGTGTGTGTGTGTGTGTGTGTGTGTGTGTGTGTGTGTGTGTGTGTGTGTGTGAGTGTTTAACACACTCATATTAATGAATACTAATGAACTATTTGGGTCGAGAGCTGAGAATCCTAACTTGTATGTTCTTAAATCCTACGTCTAATTTCTAGCTGGTCGATGTTTTCTAATTAAGCAAAAAAATACTCTCACAATATCGAAATACG